GGAATCACCCACATCATTTCCTTTAAGCTGCAAAAGTGCACTCGGGGCAGCACACAGCCCTGATGAAGAGACATTTTCCTGGCGCAGGACTGGTTTCTCAGGAGACAGAAGGAGCCGTTACCACAGATGCCAGCCCCGTCCAGTCTGACTGCTCTCTCATTTCACCAGTGTCTGAGCTCTGGGATCAAACGAGGAGTTACTGCACACATCTTCGTTGGCTGTGCTGAAGCTGTGTTGTGTTGTCTTGCTGACGTCGTGCTGTGTTGATGAAGCTGTGCTGAAGAGTCGTTTGTTGGCTGTGTTGAAGCCCAGCCATGCTGGAAACGTACACGAGTCTCAAGCGTTCCAGTTCTTCATTTGCCGATTTTAATCAAATTGTTTACCAGGAGAGACTTACCATCCAAAGGATGTGAGGCTCTCTCCACGTGTTACTGTGTTGCTAAAACAACCAGTGAACACAAGATCTGTCACATTGCTGTCCTCCGTAAACACGTCTCATGAAGAGGTAACCAGGTCAAGACAACACACAGTGGTACCAGGCGGCCAACACGTAGGCTCAAAGGTCAGGAGTTACAACTAGATCCCTTCTGTCCGCTGCTGATGGTGGTAAAAGCTCCTGATTTGGTGTCAGGGAACTTGGATGTCCTGTCTGGTTTCTGCCTCTAGCAAGCCCCTGTTTCATTCTATGCATAGGTTTCTCGTCTGTAAAAGGATGCAGGTGGGTCTCTGCCAGGCTGGAATTGTGCTTGAGGGGTTCCAAGGAAGCCTCCCATTTTGTCGGGCCCCCGTTGCCTCTGCACTCATCTGTGTAGCTCCCAGGCCCGCAACTCCTGGCCTCTTGGTCTCCCTGGACCAGTCATTTACAGACCACGGCAGACACACAAGAAGGCCACTCTATGAATTTGAGACACATGTATCTGTCATCACACATGTCACCTGTCCTGCTGAGAGCTTACATTCCTTGCCACCCCTGCTCACCTTTCTGGAGCCGGGTCTGCTCACCGCAGCACTCCTCTCTGTGCCGGGCCAGCATGTAGAGCACGATGCGCTGGCCGCAGTCTGGGCAGACCTCCGTCTGTCTGCCGCAGTGGTGCTCGTGGATGTCCACCTCGTTGAGGCTCACGGCCAGCTCACAGAACTGGCACTCAACGGGGCGCTCCTGGCATTCCTTGGCCTGCAGGGAAGCAGGCGGAACGGGCATGGCCACTGGCCTGCAGTGACTGCAGCTGCGTTGGGGATATGAGCCTATTTCCCAGGGGGACTGAAGCCAGTAAGAGAAAGCAGATGGCAAAGGCCAGGGGGTGGGGGGACTCTCCTTGGCAAACATGAGCTCTCTTGGGCTTGTGGACCATGGCAGGCCCTTCTGACGGGCATCTGGGGGCAGGAGGCCCTGTGATAAGCTAGTTCCCCATTGTGCCCCAGGCCTCGTCGGGCGGGAAGAGAGAGCGGGGGGGCAGGGGGCGGGGGGCAATCTTTATTACTGGCCCCTTACTTTCCTCCCGGGCTTGGGAGAAGAAATCACAGCTGACTCTCCCCTCGTGAATCTCCGGCAAGTGCTCCGGCAGGCTCTGCTGACACATTGCCCGCCCCACCTAAACACGCAGGGAGACCTGGAGTCCCGCCCAGCTCAGCGGCCCTGGCTCTGTGTGTCAGGTGCGGGTCTGTGAGCGCCTGGGGGCAGGACTCACGTTCCCTCGCCTCCCTGCAGCACCAGCCCTGTGCTCAAGGAGCATCTGTGGGACCCGCTGAGTTGAAATGGATGCCTGAGCTCGAGGAGCTCCAGAAACAGCAGGAGAGAAAGGTTAACCTTTGACCCGCCTTGGCCATGAGTGCCTTCTAGAGCTCTCCTTTCCTGTCTCTCCTCTTGACACATCTCGAAAGAACATTTTGCCTTTCCTGAAACAGGGACTCCCTTGCCTTGGCCGAACCCATTCGCCTGCAGGGAAAGGACAGGGGATGGGAAAACCAGGGTTGACTCAGGGCAGTACAAGAAAGGCAGATTTAACTACGCTTTCCACTTCACTGGGGGTGCTGGGCACGGGGTGCCCTCCTGAGACGGGCTGCAGTGAGGGCCGGGCTCCGGCTGGCCGCCTGGTGCCCCCACCCCCATCCCTGCTTCCGCCTCCCCACCTGCTGGTGCCCGCCCCCGCGGTGCTCTTCCATCGTATCCTGCAGGAGGGGTTCCTTGCACTCCGGACAGAGAACCAGGAAGAGCAGAGAGTGGGCCCCATGGGGGGCCAAGTGGCCAGGGGCCCCGCTTCTTTTGCTGCAGGATCAAGAGGGAGGAAAAACAGGCTTATTTCATGGTATAAAGCATGGAGCCGTCTTTCGTATCCACGGCTGCTGGATTAAGATCTTTCAAGGTCTCAAGCACTGAAAATATGATGACGATACCACCTGCCCCCCTTCCCCATGTTGGTCCTATATCAGAACAATGCAAAATCATAAAATAAGTGTAAGGATGCTCTGTAAACTCTTCTGTTGCCTGGGGTGAGAGGGGGTGGGCAAGGAGGGGCGGGAGGCAGACATTACAAAGGGGCCGGAGAAAACTTTTGGGGGGAATGGATAGGTTCATCATCTTGATTGTGATTTGATGAAATATAATTTATATTTTAAGGCAGGACAAGAAAAAATTAAACAAAATTCTCTCTGTGTTTGTTCGGGCCTCCTCCCTCCCTAATGTACGGTGTGCATCTGTATTACACATTAACCAGAGCTCCTCAAAGATGGGAGTGCCTGCTCGATTGTAAAGATCAATTTTTTCTTTATTTCTTCTGAAGCTAGCAATGTAACTTCATAAAAGAATAGGGTTCTTTCCCAGCTCTGTAGGGGGTCCTAGTGACAGTGACTCGCTGTTTGCTTGGTACACTTCCTACGTGCTTACTTGGACTAAGTATCCTTGGTGAACTTTTTGTGAAATATCAGTATGTCTTTTTTTTTTTTTTTTTTTTTTGCGGTACGCGGGCCTCTCACTGTTGTGGCCTCTCCCGTTGCGGAGCACAGGCTCCGGACGCGCAGGCTCAGCGGCCATGGCTCACGGGCCCAGCCGCTCCGCGGCATGTGGGATCCTCCCGGATCGGGGCACGAACCCGTGTCCCCTGCATCGGCAGGCGGACTGTCAACCACTGCGCCACCAGGGAAGCCCCAGTATGTCATTTTGATGTATGATCCTTTGTCTCGAAAATGTATATGACTGTGCCTTCGACTTTTAACTGGTGGGACAGTTCTCAGAACTTTCTGAGAATCTGCTTCCTGGGTCATCATTCTCAGTGTGGCTTGAATAAAATTCCCTTTTGTTCTTCCTAACTTGATAGTTTATTGAATTTTAGTAGTCTTGGTGATGGTTTCATGGGTATATATCTATGTCAAACATGTCAAATGGCACACTTTAAAAATGTACCACAGGGAGTTCCTTGGTGGCACAGTGGTTAAGACTCCGCACTCTCAATGCAGAAGGCCCTGGTTCAACCCCTGGGCAGGGAACTAGATCCCACATGCGTGCCACAACTAAGAGTTCACATGCCGCAACTAAGGAGCCGGTGAGCCGCAACTAAGGAGGCCACCTGCCTCGACTAAGACCTGATGCAACCAAATAAATAAATAAAATAAATATTTTTAAAAATGTACCATAAATGCAGTTTATGTCAATTATACCTTGGTAAAGCTGTTTTAAAAATGAAATAACAAATATCAAATTCTTTCAAATATTTTGTCTATTTTCAAGCACTCCCCTGCTTGGCCCACAGCCAGTTGGAAATCCAGGCCTGCACGCCCACTCAGAGCCTTGCAAGGGCAATGCCAACTTTCAGAACCCCCATAGGGAGAGCTTCCCAGGTCTCCCAGAACGAGAAGCCATCTACCTTTCCCTGCCTTAAGGCTCACCTGTGCAACCCACAGAGAGGTTGAGACCCTTCTTGGAGACCCCAAAAAACACAAGCTTCTGGCCCTCCCAGTTGCCAGGCAGGGTGTTTCTTAATATGCCTCCTTTCATTTCAACCAGCTCTTGCTTGTGGCAGCTTGGGAGAGAGGACACGTAGCGGCCATAGCTCTAAAGGCCTAAAGGATGATGAGAGTTGCCCGCCCATGTCCTGGGCACATGGGATGTGGCCAGAGGGGAGTAGCCAGAGCCTCACTCTGCTTGGTCTGAACAAGGTCTTGGCTTCTGCACAGCCCAAGCAGGTGGCACAAAAGCTGCTTCCCACTCCCTTCCTCTATTCTTGCCCCTCTGCCCGGCCTGGCCCTTCATCTCTTCTTCTGAGCTGCTTCAGCCAGGAGGGTCTGCCTGGAGAAAGCTCTCTGGGAGGGATCCCCCGGTTCCCACCACAGGTAGGGAGTTTCGAGAGTGAGGTACTTCAAGGGGCCAGGTCTCCCTGAGTTAGAGGTGTGGTCTGGGACCCCTGCTCTATCCCCTCACCCCGCTCCACAGCGCCCTCTCAAGGTGAGGGCGGGTGTGGTCCCGGACAACCTCCGTGGGCCCCTTTCTGTCTAAGACTGGTGTGAAGAGCATATGATCAGAACTCCAAGTTAGGACCCAAGTTCTGAAATATATGAATAGCCCAGCAGGGACAGTTAGCCTGGATGTTTGGCTTTAGAACGGTCCCAGAAAGACTGAAATATCTGGGGTGGGGCTAGGATGGCATTCAGGGATGTTAGCCAACCCTGACCATCTCTCATCATCTTCCTACATCTCCTGAGTTTAAATCTTCCACCCTGGCCCTCCTGGGTACAAGGGCCCTTTTCTCTTAACTTCAGAAACAGCCTTATCCTGTCTGCCCCTCTCACTAGCCAGCCTCAGGTCGGCCGCCGGGAAAGCAACTTCTTACCAGTTCCTGCACACCTGGAAGTTTCCCTCCATGTTCTGGTCTGCGGAGTCTTTCTGTTTCGAGGAGTTTCGGTTCTTGCAGGCAGAGAAACAAAACTGAAAGTGTTCCAACAACCCGGCCCACAGCCCAGGAAGGGAGGGGTTTTCAGATTTCTCAGCCCAGGGCTGCTCCAAGGTACCTGTGGCTGGACATTCCAGGAAGCCCCTCTGTAGCTGGGCCAGCCCAGCCGGCCCCTGCCGCCTCCCTCGGCCTGTGCTGCTGCCACCAGCTGTCTCTACGACCCCTTGGGTGGGAGCCAGAGGCCAGGCCTCCCCCTGGGCAGCAGCCTCTCCCCTCACCCAGGCTGGCCTCACTGCATGAATGTCTCTCCATCCCCTTGCATAAAACACTGACCTCCCTCTCCTTCCTGGTCCTCTTGCTGGTCCTTCCTCTGCCGGGGAGAGAGCTGGCGTGCCCTGTTGAACTTGAAGGTTGTTCCCTGAGAGTGGCTCCTGGACTTCCTGCATCCTACTCTGGTCCTGGTGAGGGCCGGGAGAAATTGGGGATGCAGCGTGGTGTGTGCTAAGACTGCAGGCTTTGGAGCCGCATCGCTTAGCAGCTTGGTGACCTAGGGCAACTGCCTATCCCCTGAGCGCCTCTTTTCTCGCTTGTAAATAATTACAGCAAACACAACTGTAATGCTAACAAGCGGGCAGGCAAATGAGGAAGTCTTCAGACACAGAAACCACTGCACTGAGGGGTGATGTAACTTGCACACATCGCCAGCCAATAGGCAGAAGAATCAGGCTTTGAACCCAGGCAAGGAGGCCCTAGGCTTGTCTCTCCCAGAATGGCCAGAGGGTCGGGAGACGGGAGTTCCAATCCTGAGAGTGGAACTGACTGGCAGCTTGAGTCACTTTAGCCTCTGGGCTTGTTTCCTCATTTTTTTGGACTCAACTGGGGACCTGGGGGACTTTGGGAGTCCAGTTGCTCCCAGAAACTGTGTGAAAAATTGCTTTCATCAGAGTACGTGGACTCAAAAGGAGTCCAGGACCCAGACAGTTATAAATGACTGGATTAACTGACCCCAAACTTTGAGATTCAAAGAAATCAAACTCTGCTAAAGGCAACACATGTCCAAAATTATATACACGTAATTGGATCAAGTGAATATAGAACAGTTGTTTGTCTACTTGTGTTCTTTTCACAGGGAGGAGCAGGATGTAATTAGTTAGATAAATAAAAATGATAAAACAGTGTATCTAATCGCTCAGTGGGAACTGAAAAATTTGCAAATAATTGCAACCCCATCAGAAACATTTGGATTTTACATATTTCATCTTAGCATTTTTAAGATTTAATTAGCTTCAATATTCACCTTTATTTTTTATAAACACGATTAAGATATTAGTGAATAACTGGAGAAGTTTGATTGTGGCTTTGCACATTTGTCTAAGCATATTAATTTATTTAAACTTTAGTGAGCATGCCGACTACATAACCCTACAGTACTTGCTCAATGTGTAGCAGCTTTTCACTAATACATGAGTAAGTCCCTCCTTCTAACCTATCTCAGAAGGTCAGCAATTGAAAAGGGACCACTGAGGTAATGGGTAATCCTAACTCAAGGCACTTAGCCTGACGTGTGGCCATTTATCGGGATTCTTGGGGCTGCAAGGACGGTAGCTCCAAAACTTGTCCACATATTGGAATCACTTGGGAAACTTACCTGCCCAACTCCAGAGAGCGTGATTTCCCTGGTCTGGCATGTGGCTGTGACTTTGGAGTTTTTGAAAGGTCCCAGGTGATTCTAACGTGGAGAGAAGTTGGGAGCCACTGATGCAGGGGGAGAGGGCTGGTTCTGAGTTCTCATCTAAACAATAAGAGGATGGGGCACATGAGCTTCACTCAAGATTCCAGAAGTGTGGGACCCACCATGGAAGAAAGACGGGGCTGGGTTTCTGCAGGAAGAGAGCTGGGATCCGTGGGTGGAAGTCCCAGGAGGCCCCGAACTTCCTCCTGGTTACGACCCAGTCCCTGGATGAACCTGTCAGGGATGGAGGGGACCTGGCCCCAGGAGTGAGGCCGGGAGGGTCTAGGATTCAGTGAGCATGCAGCTCTCATGTTCCCCTGTGGGTGAGCTTACAAGAAAGCCCAGCTAAGCCAAGGTGCAGACAAGCTCTTCGTCTGGGCCAGCCCAGGGTAGCACACAGGAAGAGAAGGGGTGCCGGCCTGCCAGACAGAGTGCTCTTCTGGGATGTGGGAACAGGATGGGAGGCTGCTTACATACCCCGCAACTCCACTTGCTCGATAAACCCTCTCTCATGTGCGTCTCCCACCCCCGGGGTCCTCAGAGCTTTCCCAGACCCCAGACACAGCTGTGCTAACAGAAGGATTCCAAAGCACCATATTGAGTGATGGCACAAGCAGGCTGAGAGAATTCTTGTGAAGTCTGCAAATGGAGTGAGAGCAGCTTTTCTGAGGAGGATAGTGGGATTAAGGAAAAGGTTCAGACGTGGTCTCCAGCCAACTACCAGCCTCCAAAATTCAGGTACCGAATGAGAGACAGTGGGTGGGGACAATAAATATCAGTGATAGAAGATAACAGCTGCAAATGAATGCTTAAACATTTCCTGTGTTCCTGACATTATACTAAACATTTTACAGGCAGGATCCTTTTTAATCTGCCTGATGGCTCTGGTGTAAGGATTATTACCCCATTTTGTACCTGTGGAAATGGAGGCACAGAGAGGTTAAGTACTTTGCTCAAGGTCACACAGTGATGTCAGAACTGGGATTGAAACCAGGGTGATCTCACTTAGGGGTCTATAAACCCAAGCCAGACACCACCTACCTTATTTGACAGCTGGTGGGGATGGGGGTGACCCGGGTTAGCTTCCTGATTCCCTTCCTCACCAGCTGGGCAAATTCTCTTTTTTTTTGCGGTACGTGGGCCTCTCACTGTTGTGGCCTCTCCCGTTGCGGAGCACAGGCTCCGGACGCGCAGGCTCAGCGGCCATGGCTCACGGGCCCAGCCGCTCCATGGCATGTGGGATCTTCCCGGACCGGGGCACGAACCCATGTCCCTTGCATCGGCAGGCGGACCCTCAACCACTGCGCCACACGGGAAGCCCTGGGCAAATTCTTTAATCCCTCTGACCTTTGCTTCCCACTCCTGTCTATCTCCAGGCAGTTTTATGAATAGCAACAATAGTGGAAAAAACTGTGCTTTCACACACATTGTCTCCTGCTGAGATCCCCCAGAATGGAGGGGGTGGTAGAGATATCAAAGAGGGCTGCACAGGTGAGATGGTCCAGGGCACAAGGATCAGTGATGGGGGCTATGGCGGTGGAATTGGAAATGACCATGAATTTTTTCATCTACATCCTAATTGTCTTCCAAGATGTTTCCTCTTCCCGGGCTGGCCCACCCCTGCACCATCCCTTCCGTACATCTCAAAATTCCACAAGTTCTTCAAGGCCAACTCTGACATTATCACTGATACAGGACCTACCTCCTCTGTCTCTGGTTATGGCTGGCTGCTTGTCTGTCTGTTGCCCCAACTTGCCCTCAGCCAACCACGGGTGTAGGTGATTTGAGATTCATCACCTCTTTCATCAGGCTCTTTCTGATTCATCACCTTCTTCCAGAGGGTCCCATGTGCTTGTGCCTGGTAGGCCGTGAAGCCCTGGGCTGTGCGGTAGTGGGCAGGTAAACGCTGGCTGAGCTGAACGGGTGTGCACGGTGCAGGTCTGAGATAATCAGAGCAGAAGTTAGAAATCTCCCTGCACCCTCACCTCCACCCCACCCCACCCCAGAACCCGAGGGCCCTCCAAACAGCAGCGGAGGCCATTTCCTTCTGAATTTTAAAGATAACTTATATTCTATAACTAATGCAGAAATATGTTTGCTTTGAAAGCAGTTAGACTATTACAGACGAAGGAAAATTTCTTTTGGACCACCATGGCCGATCCTGAGCCATCACTATTTTTAACTGGAGTGTGTAACCAAGACACATTCTGGTTGGCACAAAAGCCTGTCCCCATTCCCACCATGACATGAATCAGTGCTGCGGGCTTGCCCGATTTCATCATTCTGCCACCCGTCTTTGGCTGGTCACCAACCCCTCCCCAACCCCAAACCCATAAAAAAACTAGATGAGAAATGCTCTGTTGTGAGCTGAGAATTCCTCTCCAGGGCACTGTGGCTACCGGCTTGGCAGTGGTCAGGAGTTTCCGGCAGCCTCTTTTGTGTCCGGCCTGTGGGTCAGGGGAGTGGGGGAAGGGGTGTCACAGGGAACTAATCCCTCCAACGTGACTTGGCTGGGTTGCCCAGCGTGACCTTCCAACGGGAGGACGGAAAGGGGGAAGCAGAAATTCTAGGCTGGCCCAGGAAGCAAGAATAATAGTACATACCTCAATGTGCTGTTTTGAGGATAAAATGAGAAATTGTGTGTGAAAACTGTACAAGGTCACGGAAGGCAGGAGAGAATATTAAAAGGTTATTTTAATATTAGGTTATTTTAATAAAAGGTTATTATAATATTATTTCCATGGCTGACTTGAGAAGGGATCTTGGTCAGGCTTTCTTCTCTTAAGGGATTGCTACGCTAAGGAAAATGATGTAACGACAGAGGTATTTTACCTCCCAGGCAAAAATTACATGGTGGAATTGTGCACACTTCTGTCGGTCATTCCTTTAGAAAGATCCTGTGGTCAGAGGGGGCCTGAGTCCTGGGAGACATGATCATTGAGATTGTAGTCTCCCCAGGTACAATGTGTTTGGGTGGGAGTTTGTTTTTCAGACCACAGGCAATTGCATCAAATGACTAGTCTCTGGATGGACTTCAAGCCTTGGGAATATCTGTGATTGTGTTTGGGGCAGATTCCAGGCCTGGCTGGGCTGCAAAGTCAGGGGATGCCCTGCCGGCTCCTGCTTAGTTGGCATCCAAAGGGGAGGAACCTTGTATTTAAACTCATGGGCAAGAAAGAGCAACTTCATCGCATTCGGTCTGCAGTTGTGGTCCCAAGTATTTTTCCCTTCCATTCCTTC